GTGTCTAGATTTTATTCTATTATTTAAATTTTTATTTTTTATATATAAATCCAAATCACTTTGAATTATTTTAAAGTGTACTTAATTCTTTAAAAAAAATATTAGAATCTAACAAAAATATTAAAAACTAATTTGAAAAATATAAATTGATCAAAATACAATCGAAATTTTTTAGGGGTATTTTGGTCAATTTATATTTTACAAAAAAAAATTATAAATTTTTATTAGGTGTGCCTTGATGAGTAAAATATACATCTAAATTTTCAAGTAATTTGGATTTATAAAAAAAAAAAAATTCAAATACGAAATAAAATCATGATCGTTAACTCAGTCTAAATTCAATTTGGACTATTGGCTGACATTGTAGTAATCAACTCATGAGTTGACAGCATCTATTCCCTATATATAATATATATAAATAAAGATTATTTAATGGTTTATTATGTCCCCAACTTATATACCCCTATCTTAATTTTGTTTTATTTTATATATTTTAACTATTTTTTTGGATCACCATTTCGACCGATTTAAATGCAATCCAACTATCTAAATAGGATTTGTGGTGAACAATTCATTCCAATGATTCGGGTTTTAAAACACTATCCTTTACAAGTAATTGTGAAATCCAACAACATAGTGTTATAATTATAAAAACTAGACTAATCAGTCCAATTGCTTAAAATGCCGACTAGTGCCTTGGTTAGTTCAGTTTAAAGCATAAATCGGGTTTGGTAAGAAGCTAGTCAAAACGATTATTTAGAACAAGTTTGATCATTCAATTTGTTTAACAAAGTTTTGTATTTTATTTGTAACATGTTTTGTTTTTAAACTTTTTATTCTTGTTTTTTTTTAGTTTTTTAAAAATCAGATCTAACTCAATCAAAACAGTTTAACTGATTTGGGTGAACTAGACCCCTCACCTTGTGCCTAAGGTATGTTGAGAATTAAAAAATGGTATGTTGAGAATTAAAAAATAATAGTTAACTTGGATTTGAGCCTAATCAATAGACACGCATAGGTATTAGATTTTATATACAATGACTCTTGATAGTTTAGGGTGTGCCATAAAGTCAGACTTTTTTAAAATGTGAACACATCTCGCCATTCAATTTCAAATCCAATGGTTAGGGTGATTTTGACATCCTTGTTTGGTCGTGTTATACTTTTACTTATATATCCCCAGATTTAGGAATGAAAATCTTGTTATACGTCTCATTCATTTAAAATTGGAATATTGCTGTAAGGATGGTTTCTAAGGCATAGACCCTATGAAGAAAAGCAAGGCTTAACCTACAAAGAGGAATCGAGCCAAGTCCTATACCATACCAAAAGTAGTTCAATCCCAACTAATTCCCATCCACATCGCCAATCAGGATAAAAAATTTCTAGGTTTCAAAACATTGGTGCAAACTATGCACTTCTTCGCGTAAAGGCCTATTTACAAATGCCGTCTTAGGTGTGAAACTTTGAGATATCTACTTTTACAATTACTAGATGAGTATTTCTAAGAACAAAAGTAGATTTCAAATTCCTAATTACTTGGATTTGACTATCCCAAAAATCAGGTGATCATTTTCTTTAAAATTAATCTCATCTCAAAGTTGGGGATTAAAATCCTCAAAATTTGGGGTCCTAAGATTACACCAAGATAAGTATTTACCTAGGGGGTGGCAATGGCTCCAAGTCCAAAATAGTATTTGGTTTGGCTCCAGGTTTTGGACCCAAAGCTGACCTTTTGGGTCCAAGATTTGGACTCATACCTAGACCCAAAGTCGGGTCCACCCATTGGGTCCTGGGTTTGGTCAAGTCCATTACCACCCTATCGAATACATTTTTGTGTTTTTTGCCCTTTTTTTGTTATTCCTTTGGCAATATTTATGAATACCCACACATACCTATATTATTGGGACCCTTTTGGGTCCAAAATTTGGACCCATACCCGGACACGAGGTTGGGTCGCAGGTCTGGTCAGATCCATAGCTACCCCTGTATTTATCCGAAGGAGGGAGTAATCTTTTGGCAAAGCTTAATAAATCTCAAAGTTGGGGAGGTTAAATTTACCCAAAGGAGGGAGTAATCTTTTGGCAAAGCTTAATAAATCACATGCTCTCTCTCTCTCTCAATTAAAAAAGAGGGAATAATTTACACAATTGCTTACATACTAGAGCAAACTCAGGCTTTCCCCCTCTATGGTGGGTCAAGACATTTGCCTGTGGGAAACAAGAAAATGTCCACATCCTAAAGGTCACCAAAAGACATTGATAGTAGTTTGGAACCTAACCAAACAAATTAAAATCAACTTATCTTAAAATTTTTGAAAGTGCCTTCTCTGGTTTTAAATAAGCTGTTACTTTGCAAGGAAGACAATGTGATGGTTGACTAATAATTATAGAAAGAGCTTTTCTCAAGTTCAGAGGATGAATGAAGATAACCAACCTTACAAGCAATGTAGACAATACTTAAGCAAGCAAAAGTAAACATTTCCTTGGAGAAAATGCAAGGGAAATGATAAATCCCTACTTATAAAATGGCAAGATGCTCCAATTATGGAGGCCAACAATTACTAGGCTCAACAAAAGAAACTATATATATTTTTTTTTTACCCAAAAAAACAAAATAAACTAGTGCAAGTGTGTGCCTGGTCTAGGTTGGCAACAAAAGCTTGGAACTACATCAATATACTAATATAAGATAACATTATAAACTAATTGCCTAATCACGAATATGATACAATGCATACAAGACCACCCTAAACATTGTAATGACATTGCAGATCATTCTTAAGTACTAGTGACTGTCTAAATTACCCATTTCCCTAGCCTTGATAAACTGATTTATCAGCCACAGTGTGCTTTGCCCTGAAATATAAGATTGTTGATAGTTTAATAGCTATTCATTGTCACAACAGATTATATAAGTTGGGTTGATAATCTTTTAGTGCTTACATTATTGCCAATAAATATGAGTCGACCCACAGAAATCCTTGGCTGAGAAGACGATGATAACAGCCATGAAATACAGGCATCCATAACTCTACATGTATCTTTCACATGATCGTGAAACCATTCCATACATTTTTCAACTTTAGGCCCTAGGCTACAAGCAAATCCCATATAGGAGTTTCTAGTACAATCAACATCACTAAAGCTTTTTTAGTTCGATTTTGAGCCTGTCATTTGGGGTATTATTTGTCATCTCCTCTTCTTCCCCTATATTACCTAAGAATTCTCTAAGCAGCATGTAGATAGGGTTTCAGATGTTTTTGGGCTCTTCAAACTTAATTGCAAATGTAATGTCTGGCGTCATAAAGAGCAGAAATTAGTCACCATCTGCATCTGCCAAAGACTGGATAAGACATGTCTTCACTTGTACATTTAATTTACTATTCACCTACCCAGAAGTAAGGTTTGAACCTAGTCATGTCACATTTGGAAAGAAGATCCAATTCCTAACCACATTGAGCTTGCAGAAGCCCATGAGAAAAATGGTAGATGTCTTAGCATGGAAATACAACCAACTGCAAGTCATAAATTTCACAATTATCTCTTTGGTGCCTTTTATGTCCTGCATGATTCTCGATAGAGCAAAACAATTGTGGTAGAGGTAGTTTCTTCTAAATTCGACGTGATAAAGAGCCTTCTTGAACTCACATGCATATTCATGATTCTCTCTGTATCGTTAAAGCTGAGCAGTCACTCCATATAGATTTTCCTCTTTCAAATGCACAAAAAAGAGATCAATTTGTACACACACTAATCCAATTTGGATCAAATGAACCTGATCAAGAAAAGAACCGTTTTGATGATCCTCGATTCAACCACTGCATGGACTAACTCATCATAATCCATTTTATTTAACTGATTGTAGCCTTTTGCCACAACTTACACCTAAAACTGTCGTATGTTTCAAGCACCCACCTAGACTACTAAAGGTTTGCTTTTAGTAACAAGGACAACAACTCACGTGTCACTCTTGTTTAAGGCAACTATTTCTTCATTCATAGCATGCATCTATCCTGAAGTAAAGTTCTCCAAAAGAATAAATTTCTTTCAGTTTCACAAAGTCTAACTAACTGAAATGATGAGAAAGCAAAAAATTACCATATCAGACCCTGCAATTAAATGGCTTTGATATACCATATAAGACCTGACCAGTAATAGGACAGATATCACCAATCACCGAATACTAAGAAAATGGGGGGAATGATGTCGGATCAGATGTGAAAGTAAAGGCATGCAGAGGACAGGTATGAAGTATATAACTATGATGAAAAAGGTGAGGCCTAAAACCCACTTGATAG